CTTGCTAGATCACTTACTTTTGTTCGAAAATATGCTTTGTCTGGTTTTTGAAAGTATTTTTGAAAAGAGGTCATTGTTTAGGCAAACTTTGTAATGATTCTCGTTCGTAAGAATGCATACAAAGTGTTGATCTTTTACAAATGTTTCAAGTTTGAAAGATGTTTTGAAAGTGTTGGTGTTTGTTTTGAAAATAGCAAGGATGTTTTGGTTTGAAGAATGAGCAAGCAACTAGGAACATTCTACCTACTTAAAAGTCTTTCATGTTTATTTCCTCTTTCCTTTGACATTGTTATCTTACCATTGATTTGGTAAGAAACCCTATCTTTGGATGTAAAAGGGACGGGCAAGGGTCATCGTATAGCCATGATAGCAATGTTGTGAGATATCTTAGCAATTCTCTTTGAGGGACTAAGATTAATTTTGAAAGGCAACTTTGATAGCGTCATCGAGGGACTATGATCTTGTATTTTGATTTGTTTTTGCTAAGATACCTCACATGCGTAATATGGCCATTTTTGTAAGGCAACCAAGTGGATTTACCCTAGGAGTGCTTGTGTGCAAGTGTATTGATTTTTCATGCTTGATTTGTCTTTGATTAGGGTTTGCTAATGATTGGTTTTAGTCTTTCCATACAAAACCTAATTTACTAGCATTTACATATAAAGCATTAAATTGCGGAAAATAAAAATACTAAGCTATTACATCATTAGGGGAGGGGGTGTACAAATTTACAAATGGGGAAATTGCAAGAAAATTAAATCTAAATAATTATTACAACCATATTGAATATTGTACAAAAATGAAAATAAAAATGCAAGAATGTAAATAGAAAAAAGAAATGATTTTTGTTTATTTTTTATGAAAAGGGTTTAGTCTTGACCTAATTAAAAAATGATTAAGGAGAATTAAATAAAATTAACTTAAACTAATTAAGAAAATAAATTAACTAAAAAAGGATTTTTTAGGGTTGTATTCATGAAAAGGTTTTAAAAATAATATGGATATTAATTAATTAAAAAAAAACCTAAGTTCTAAATTAATTTTAACTGCAAGAAAATAATATAATAGTTAAACCTAAACCTAAATATTAATTATTAAGAAAGAAATTAATTTATTAAAGAAAATGTTTTTGTTCTTTTAGTTTTATAAAATAAATAAACTAAATAAGTGTAAAAATAATAAATAAAATATTTTTTGGATTTTTATTAATAACAATAAAAAAAAATAATAATAATAATAATAAAGGAAAAAGAAATAAAATAAAATAAGGAAAAGAAAATAATAATGAAAAATGGGTCAGGGGATGCTGAAGTAAGTCAGGGGTTAGTAAAAGAAGAAAAAAATCACCAGGCCCAAGTTGGAAGCCCAGGTGTGCTGTTTGGAAACAAAAAAACTGAAAAACTGTGAGAAATGAGAAAAGGTAGCGCGCTGGGTGTTGAACTCACGCCCTCTTAGTTACCAGTGCGCTGCCTTATCACTGGGGTAGCTATACATCCGTTTATTAAAATGAAATGATAAATACATAACGTAACATGATTCCAAGGCCTGTACTTTGTCTTCAATCTTCAGCCATCCAGAGTATCTGTAACTTCTTCATCTCTCAACAAAAATGAAAAGTACAAACATGAAAGTTGTGGCATTTCTTCCCACGAATCCAACCATATAAATAACTAAATCTATAAATCCAAGATGAGTAAGAATTTTTCTGGCCCTAATTTAAAACCTAAAAATTTCAGAAACTTCAACTCTAAAATTCTCTAAGCTCAGGCCATATAAATGCAAACTATGGACATGTACAGCTTCATGGCAATGGTATCTACATTTTATCTTCATAAATCAGAATCAAATGATGCTTGTATGAAGAGATAGAAGTTTGAAAACTTACCTCTTGCAGCTGGAGTCGTGTATGGAGTTTGAGCAACCTTTGAGATGGCCTGATGATTTCTGTAGCTTGCCTAGACCTCCTTGAGTGTGTTCCAACTCCTACTTTGCTTTGAGGATGGCTGGAACTCGCAACTCAAGTCAAGTTGAAAGCTTTAGTTTTGGAAATTATGGATAGTGATGGAGGAGTTACAGTCTTGAAACAGGGGCTTGGATCACTTGTATATGATGTAAGTAAGGTGTCTGGATGGTTAAGAATCAAAACGCACGAGTGAAAATGGAGATGGAGAGTTTTGGCTCAAAATTGTCAAGTGGGACAGTTCTGTGCAGCAAGGGTCTTTGGGAGAGTTCTTGGGGGCTTGAAATCGTGTGTTAGCTTGCAAACAACTTGTGCATAAGTAAGGAAAAGGTTAGAGTACTTGAGGAGGTCAGAAGCACAAGATGTAGAGTTATGGCTATGTTACTTGATTTTGAAGAAAAGTGAAAACATGGTTTCAAGGCATAGTACAAGCATGGCCTGAGTTTATGGGAGGCTCTAGATATGTTGCTTTTGCCTTTGACATTGCTTGTGATCAGAAGGAACAAGTGCAAAGCTCTATGCATTGACTTTGTGATTAAAGCTTCTTTACAAGAATGGAATGGTTACTTTGTGCCATAAATGGAAATGTAACTTGGATAAAGGCTCAAGTGCTTGGATTAAAGCTCTAACAGCTGTGTAAACATTTAATTATAGAGTGACAAACAAGTTTGAGGCTTGTAAAGCAAAGATTATGCAGCCTAAGCATGGGTTTGAATTCTTGTTCATCAAGAAATGACTTGTAATTCAAGTTTGAAAATCCTAACTTCATCTCTTCGATTCTCCTTGCTCACAAATGATCTCAAGGAGTTCTTGGACATTTTGGAAAGCTTGTAGTGTGATCTACAACCCCTCTTTGAATCAATTTTGAAAATTCCCCTTGGAACTAGGTGAAACTTGGGTCAGAAGTTAGCTTCTTTTTCTTCTTTTCTAAGTTTTTCTTCTTCCGCTTCTCGAAGCGCTTTAGCTTCAGCCTCTTTTGCTTAGCAGCAAAGAATTCAAGAAATCTAACTCTTTTCTGTGATTTTTTCCTTTCTTTCGCAACTTGAATATCCCAAGTTTTTTATGCTTTGGCAAAAGTGTTAAAACGTTCAAACTCAGAAGCCATCCATTTCTAAAACTTCTTCCAAGAATCATTCATTTCCTGAGGCATGGTAGAAATACTTGCCTCTTCCCTTAGTTTCAAAACCTTTTTCATAGCCTTAGTTCTTAAAATGTTAATGCATTCATCCAAAGTTTTTGGGACATTGTTTATCATAGAAAGATATGGCTAGGTCACTTTTAGAAGGGATGGGTTCAAAAGTTATAGGTTCAGTTTGATTGGATTGTTCAGTTAGATCGAAAAGGTCATACATAGAACATGATTTAGTGTTTGGGTTTACAAGGGATTCAAAATCATCAGAGATTGTTCTTTCAAACACTTCAAGAACATAAGATGATTGAGGGTCAGGATTTTGAGAGTTTTTGAGTTATTGGTGGTGATGAAAAGCAAAGTAGAGATTTGGAAAAGGATCAGAAACAATAGGAATTTCTGATGGAGGTTGAGATGCGATGGTTTGTGGTAATAATGAGACAAGTGGTGATGAGAAAGTAGAGATGGGTTGAGATGGTATGGGTGTTGAGATGAATGAAAGTAAATTGGAAACACGTGTGGTTGATGAGGTCGCAAGGCCGGAAGTGGTTATGATTTTTGGGGTAGAAGCAATTGTATTGTAGGTAACGTTGTAGAGACAATTTCAGAAACAAAAGTTTCTGTAGTTAAGGGAATGGTTAAGGAAACAGGATCAGAAGCAGGAAAAGTTATGGTGGATGGTGGAATAGAAAAAGAGTTAAAAACATCGGACGAAGATATGATGATTGTTGGTGAGACATTTGTGATTATTGGAGTTGTAGTTGCAACAGAAACAAGTATGGTTTTAGGTGTTGGTTCAGATACAGGAATTGTTAAAGATGATGGTGTAATAACCGACTTTAAATTTGAGAGTCGCCACTCTTAATTTGTATCCTAAGGAAGGGAGTATAAAGGAATAACCCTAATTTGGATACAAAGATTCTAAGTTCTTGACTCACTTTAGACGAAGCGAAGGTGTTAGGCACCCTTCATCTACCTTGTTCACAAGGATACTAGGATTTATGTTTAAGATTTAGGAATAGGGTTTTAATTTTTTGGTTAGGGGAACTCGCCACGATTTTAGTCGTATGCCTACGTTCCTCTTATGAGGAATCAAAGTCCTAATTCGTAGTTCATAGTTGGTTGGTGTTTTTCATGGATTACGAAGATATTTGAATTCCCCTTGTACTTAATCTGAGTGTGTGAATAGCGGAGTAGTTAAACGAAGTGCGCAATCGATTAAAATATTTTTGTAATCCTTTTTGAAAATGGTTTGTTGAATTTAATTGATTATGAAAAAAGAGTTTAGGGTTGGTTAAGTATTTTTTTAATGTATTACTTTATAAAACATCTTATTAATGCATGATAAAAAAATATTTTAATGTAATAAAAATATATATTTGAATGAGTTTAGAAAATAAATATTTGAGTTTGTAATAATAAAATATATTAAAGTTTATAAATATATAAAATATAAATAAATAAAAAGAATTAAATTAGAAAACGCAGGGATGTAAATCATGTTAGGCTAGTAAAATGGAGGATATATGTAGCATGACCCTGAATTCATATGTTGAATTCAGGCCCAAACGCGTAAAGTGTATATTCTAACGTAATAGCAAATCTGGGGTGTATAAAAAGTAAGGGTCCAATTCTAAAACCCAATCTACTTATAAGAATTATACAGTAAAACAAACAAATGAATTAAAAGTAAAGCTTGACTTTTTCAAAGCAATTAAATTAATAAACAATATTCGATAAGAGACAAACAATAGTATTGACTCAAAACTTGCTCTTAATCTCTCTCTATCGCATGATTTGCATCTAAATATACATAGATCAAACCAAACCCTATTCTCTTTATAAGTTCAATCTTCTTCTTTAAATCACCACTTTCCAATTTCAAGATAAAGAAAACACCCAAATAAAGAATCAATCAAACATCAAAGTAATAGAGAGAAAATACCTGATCGAAAGCGCTGATGAGTAGCGGTTGGTGGAGGAGGCAGAGTGGCCTTTCGTAGAGGAGAAGGGTCGCGTACTAATCGGTTTCGGTGGCGTCGGTGGCGGATCTGTGAGTCGGAGATCGTCGACAATGTAATTTTCCGGTTGCGGGATGCGGCTCTGGGAGTTGTTTCGTTCACGCGACGACAGAGGAGTTTGACGGCGCAGTTGTGGGCGTCTGCGGAGGGCGTTGGCTTCGTGCGAAGGTGGTCGAATCCGCAGCTGGAGGAGAGAGACGGTGATTTCGACGGAGTCAGCAGAGTGGCGTGCGGTGCAAAAATCCAATGAGAGCATCGATTCGGTTGATTGCTTCTACTTGAATCTTCTTTTGTTGCTCTTCTCTTTATTTTTCAGAATTTATGATTATCGTGAATGATGTTGAATTGAAACCTTGGTGATGATTTGTGATGGAAACGACACACAGGTTGTGCGTGAGAAATCGTTACAAGAGTAAAAGATATGAAAAAAGTATATACAATGTAATTGGTAATGAACAAAAGTGACTTCAACTACTTTCCAAATTTTATTTGTGAGTAATATATACGTATACTGTGTCGTGTATGTGTAAGTGCAGATTAGTAAAAAAAGAATGCCTTTGAAAAGTTGTAAAGAAAATGTCACTATGAATGGGTGAAAATGGTTAGTGTAAAAAAGATAATTAGAAAATACTATATTTAGATAATATCATATAATTAAACAACAAACAAATTAACATTAAAAAAAAGATAAAATTGAAAATAAAAAGGGAGGGGGCCTCATATGAAATCATCGGCCGTTTGTTGGTTATTGTCTGATATAGACAATAACAAGGTTTTGAAGTTCTATGAATGGGTGAAAATGGTTAGTGTAAAAAAGATAATTAGAAAATACTATATTTAGATAATATCATATAATTAAACAACAAACAAATTAACATTAAAAAAAAAGATAAAATTGAAAATAAAAAGGGAGGGAGACATCATATGAAATCATCGGCCGTTTGTTGGTTATTGTCTGATATAGACAATAACAAGGTTTCGAAGTTTCTGTTTAGAAACCCTGTAATAAACCAAAACAAAAGTTTTAATTTCTGATGATTATGAAATTGTTGATGAGAAAATGTGACAACAATTGTCCTATTTATAGAGTTAAATTAGGTTAAAAAACGAGAAAGTTAGTCAAAAATGAATGAAAAACCCAAAGCCTGATCTCCAAAAAGGGGTGCACCACAAGAGATTCAAAGTCGTGACCTTATACTTCTAAGCTACGCTTCCTTACCAATTGTGCTATGTTATTTATTTGAAATAAAAAGTCAATTTAAAGTATATGAAGACAAAATTATTTTCAATTTTTTGAAAATACAAATAATTATATTTTAAATAGACTCGAAAGCGAATATTTATTAAAACCACAAAATATTAATGTAATTAAACCAATGGAATTTTAAAACCAAAGTTCGAAAATAAATTTGACGGTAACACTAAGGGCGGACAAATTTGGAGTATGACAACTGCCCCTATTTAATCACTCTACGATTGAATGGTGCGAGAGTATCCAGGTCTCTCACATTTGAATCAGATGGTTATTAAATAATGGAAGACCCCAAAATTTAGACCAAAGCATTATTAAGTAAGGATACGCTGATATGGCATACCCAAGAGTACCGAGAAATAGGCAAAGATGATGATGTATCATCCTACCAGAGTTTGAACAAAGAAATAGGAAAAGATGATGATGTATCATCCTACCATTATTTGAATAAAGAAATAGGCAAAGATGATGATGTATCATCCTACCGGAGTTTGAATAGAGAGATATGATTGAAGAGTAAGTTTGACCTATATATGATGACGCGGATAACTCGCCTATACCTGGAAAAGAGATTTTCGTAGATTTTGCATATTTACCATAACCTAGGAGGTAAACAACACAAGTTGAAAGATTAATAGCTTATTGGTGCATGGAGACTGATGCAACAAGCTACACCGTAGTAATATACTAGTTTGAAATTCTGACTTACTAAAGCTTCGAGACTAACATAGCAAGCTTATGACGCGGATTTCGCATATTCATCGCAACCTAGGGGATGAATAACACAGAGTCTGATAATACATTCCCGCATGGAGACTAACACAATGAATTATATTACAGAGAGACAGATAACCTATTGCTGCTTCGAGACTAACGCAATAAGTTATATTGTAGATTTCATACATCTACTACAACCTAGGGAGTATGCAATACGGGTTGAAAATATCTTACAAATGCATAACGAATAACATAGTAAGCTTAAGACGCCAATTTTATTCATCACAGCCTAAGGGATGAATAAAACAAAGTTTAATAACACATTTATGCATGGAGACTGATGCAATGAGTTATATAACAGATTTCGTCATATTTACTACAACCTAGGGTGTAAATAGTATGAGGATGAACATGCGCTTTTATCACAACCTAGGGGATAAAAGACAACAAGGGTGGGCTTATGCTATTCATCACAACCTAGGGGATGAATAATATAACCCTAAAATTCGCATATTTATCGCAACCTAGGGGATAGATAATTAAAAAAAATTGATAACACATTGCTGCATGGAGATTGACGTAATGAGTTATATCGCAAGTTTTGTCATGTTTACTACAACCTAGGGAGTAAACAGTACGAGGATGAACCTGTGCATTTATCACAACTTAGGGGATAAAAGACAACAGGGGTGGGCTTACATTATTCATCATAACCTAGGGGATAAATAATATAACCCTGAAAATTCGCATATCTATCACAACCTAGGGGATAGATAATTGAAAAAGCTTGATAATACATTGTTGCATGGAGACTAACGTAATAAGTTATAACACAGATTTCGTCATGTTTACTACAACCTAGGGAGTAAACAGTACGAGAATGAACATGTGCATTTATCACAACCTATGGGATAAAAGACAACAGGGGTGGGCTTATGATATTCATCACAACCTAGGGGATGAATGATATAACCCTAAAAATTCGCATATCTATCGCAACCTAGGGGATAGATGATTGAAAAATCTTGATAACACATCGTTTCATGGAGACTGACACAATGAGTTATATCACAGATTTCGTCATGTTTACTATAACCTAGGGAGTAAACAGTACGAGGATGAACCTGTGCATTTATCACAACTTATGGGATAAAAGATAACAGGGGTGGGCTTATGCTATTCATCACAACCTAGGGGATGAATAATATAACTCTGAAAATTCACATATCTATCGCAACCTAGGGGATAGATAATTGAAAAAAGCTTGATAACACATCGATGCATGGAGACTGACGCAATGAGTTATATCACAAATTTCATCATGTTTACTACAAGCTAGGGAGTAAATAGTACGAGGATGAACCTGTGCATTTATTATAACCTAGGGATAAAAGACAACAGGGGTGAGCTTATGCTATTCATCACAACCTAGGGGATAAATAATATAACCCTGAAAGTTTGCATATTTATCACAACCTAGGGGATAGATAATTGAAAAAGCTTGATAACACATCGTTGCATGGAGACTGACGCAATGAGTTATATCGTAGATTTTTGTCATGTTTACTACAACCTAGGGAGTAAACAGTACGTGGGTGAACATGTGCCTTTATCACAACCTAGGGGATAAAAGACAACAGGGGTGGGCTTACGTTATTCATCACAACCTAGGGGATGAATAGTATAACCCTGAAAATTCGCATACCTATCGCAACCTAGGGAATAGATATTTGAAGAATTTGCATGTTTACCACTACCTGGGGATAAACGGCGCAAAGGTGAATTCACATATTCATTGGAACCTAGGGAATGAATAATATGAATCTTGTAATTTGCACACCTACCACAACCTAGGGGGTAGATAATTGAAAAAGTAATTTGATGATAAATTCTTGGATAACTAGATTAAAGACGAGATCAGAGTTTTTATCGGTTTTGTCTGTTCTCAACCAAGGTAATTGATGAATAAGATCGAAATTATACCAGTTGTGTTTGTTTTCAACAAAGGTATAAGATTTAAGTTTTACCGGTTGTGTCTATTCTCAGCCGAGGTAGCTATACTAATAGCAAGATAAATGGATAATGTTGAGCTTGGATTTGAATTTGAGTTCATCTTAGCTGGTAGTCATGCCTTGAGATTTTTCTGCAGTTTTCATGGGCATATATGATTGAATGTAATGCATGTATGCATGTTTGATATGATTATGCTTGATGTATGCATGGTGCATGGTATGTATGCTTAATATGATAATATTATGAATTGAAATGATGCAATGATTGATAAATGGAATATCCGTTTTATTTGAACTGCGAAATCAATGCCTAAAGTTGGCTACCAGACGAGAACTGGACTTTTTAAATGATGCGTCAGACAGGAACTATGCTTTACACCAACGTCAGTAGGGCTATTGGAATAATATCAACTCGGAAAGATGAAATAGATAATAAGGTTGCTAATGTTGGTAAGGTCACCGGGAGACATCGATTAGGAGATTGGAAAGTGTGAGGCTGCTCACGAATTTTACATAAGGCTACTTACGTATGGACACATGAGGTTGCTCATGCTTCGTAGGGCTGCCTACGAATGAATAGTGGATGAGGTTGTGTGAGGATGATCACGTCTTTTTATGAAATGAGGATAAATAAATGTGTGAGTCTTCTCACGTCTTGACAGAATAATGTGTGAGGTTTCTCACATCCTAAAAGATCGTACATAAGGCTTCTTACGTTTCAGTTTGACGAAGAATGCTTGTACGAGAGACTCACTGGAAGGAATAGTCAGAGAGATATTACTGACTTAGCACGAGATTATACTTGGATCGAGAATAGTGACTCCCCTGGAAATTGACTCAGGATTTTTTATGGGAGGTCCTAAGTCCTGGTTTATGATATGTCATGTAGGCATGTAGATGTAGGCGTTAATGCGTAGAAATACTGACCAATGCATGTAATGCATAACTCAGATATATATCAATGGATGTTTGACTTTTGAGGTGCAAATCAGGCTTAAGGGTTGACGCCAAGTAAGATTGGGCCCTTGTTTAGATCCATGTTTTCGGAATGTCATCCGGATGAGATAATAGGTATAGCTTGTTTCTGAATCGAAGTAACCTAATGAATGCAAGACAGTGATTTATGTCGGCTCGTATGCTTTTGATTGTTGCAGGTGGTTAATACGTAGAGAGGTTGCCTATGCAACAAGGTTGCTTGTCACATGATGGTTGAATGTCATGCTATAATGATTTCCCAATACTCGATTTGAACTCGGAGATTACTGATGTAGGAGA